GAAAGCATATCAAAATGGTGCTATCGACGCAATGTCGGACCATTTCAAATTTCATATACAGAATATTGGCCAACCAGGTGGAGAAGGTTCTGGATCCAGGACTTTATGCAAAAGATTTCGCAAATAAAAGCAATACACAAATACGTATTATTAGTATATAGCCGTAGTAGAAACCCTGCATAAAATAAAAACAAAATGTAGCCAAAACAAAAAGACTGCAGACGAGTGACATTAAGTCCATTGTGAGGTCAGTTTCTTTTTGCCGTGATACAGGACAAAAATTTATGAAACAGATGGTGTTAATGACATCCAAAGGTAGAGTACTAATTTCAAAAACACCCAAAAGATCGCAATTGGAATACTGTTGTGCATACAACCCTAAGAAGGACAACCAAGAAGTTTTAGTTTTCTCTGATGAAAAAATTTAGTTATTATGGCTCCAATGGATTCAATAAATATATACCATAGACCATAACGATTATAAGAAGCAAAATTAAATAATAAAGAAAATAATTATTATGAGAACACGTAAATCATTTCCATATGGAAATAAAAGTCCCGCGGGATGAAAAAAAAAATAAATGTCCCACATAATTATTATGAGAAGACGTAAATAATTTTCGTCTTGAAATAAACGTCCCGAGAGACTAGAAGTATAAAAATACCATATAATTATTATTAATATTCCCTCTGAAATTAATCGTCCCGCGAGACGAAAAAGGATATTTCTCCTAAATAGTAATTACACAAAGACAAGGCGACGTTTTGATCTCAAATATTAGGATAGTAATTATTTTGGGTCTCTGATATATACACAACTTGTGAACGGTGGATCGTTTTTAGACTTTACACCATATGGACCTGTCAATCTATCACTTGAGGTCGAAATAATACCCTAATGGATAAAAAAAAAACTGAAAATTATACCTAATTGTATTGTTTTCTTATTAAGTATGAAGTAACAATTTGTGCACTAATGAGTGTTCTACAGTTTTACGAAATCGTTCAAACACTCTTTAGAATATCCGGATAACCAAATGAATGTGACCGGATATCCGGATAACAAAAAGGAACGGATATTAACTGGAGTGAGTTGACTTGATTGGTAGAAATTTGGAGAAATATCAAACAGATTATAAAGAAACATTTCGCGTTGATTTTGGTTAAAATACCAATTTAAAACTTTTTATTTTTTTCTTAATGCGTCAAGTTATCTCTAGTCTTTGATTTCCTTTTTTTCGTAACTATTTTTCCAGTAAATCCTTATAGTACTAATACATATTAAATTCTATAATGAAAAAAGGTAATTTAGAAAGTAAACAACATATTCATTGCATATTTTACAAGCGCATCAAAATTCTGTTGAAATACATGCATAATAACATAAGAACAATTTTAACAAGGGGCAACTTTGCTCCTCATTCCGACAACGTCCCGGCGCTAAGTTGATTGCACTAAATGCTGTTGTTGAATAACAGCAGCATGATCGTACTATTCTCTCCACGCCTCCGAGACATCATCGTCCATACCCCAGCCATCTCCGCCTCCCGTATTGTCGTCTGCATTAATGGCCACAGCGGCAAATCGACTACTATCGATTATTATTTCATCATTGTCATCCTTATTTGGCAATTTCATTGTATTTGATGGCATTTTTGTCACTAAAGTCCCTGCTAAGGATAATTTGCTTGTACTCGGTTCAATAATTGGTTCCATGTCTTTAAAGAAATCAAAGTCAATAATTCCGTCGACTTGTGGCGTCGCCGTCTTATGGACAACAATGTCAAAGGCGTTGAGATCATCATTTATTTTAAGAGCTCGCGTCTGATGTGTGCTTGCTGCGGTACTATTAAGATCCCCTTTGATAGTGGTCTAAAAAATAGATTGAAAAATATTAGCAGATAATTAATGCTTCAGTAACTAAGGGAGTTACATACCTCTAATATTTGCAGTTTCGAAGTTTCAGCGGATGGTTTTGTTTTTGTTGATACGTTATTGACTTCAGTACTACATTCAGGCAGTGTAAAAGAGGGGCTTTGTGAAGTTAGATTATTTGTGTTTGTGATCAAAAACACTTTTGATTCATCAATTTTTGCAGGTGACTTATCAACTGCAGCTGCCTGATTTAGCTTTTGTAGCTCATCAGACTCCCAATCGGACCACGCTTCAATCTCATCGTCGTCGCTATTTTCAGCTAGGTTCCGATTGTGAAAGCCATTCACAATTGGGTTTTCAATACCAGTAATGATCTGTGAAATCTCAGCTGAACATATTTTCTCAGTTTCATTTGTATTTTCATCAATATTAGGTGTTAAAATGTATGTTGCCTCCCTGCTATTTGCAACAATGGCTTCTGCTGCTACCGTTTCGTTATCGCTTTGTCTACCAATTTCTTCATGCTGCTGTGAGGGGTTCAGTGATCCCATACCATCCCTAACAGAAGTACTCTTATCATCTTCGCCTCCGTCCGGGCTTAAACGCGGCGGCATTCCCTGCTCTTCGTTTGTGCCTACTTGAGGCAATGAATTAAAGCTACCACTCAAATCAACGTGGTCCGGCAATGGACTATCTGACACCATATAGTCTATATTATTGCCCATTACGGGCGTTATCGAGCGCGGTTCGACCCAATGAGTTGTTGCATCAGAAACTGCTGCCTGTGGACGACCATCGGAAAAGATGCGAGTACGGTTGCCAACGATAACGGTAGAGGCTCCTAGAATTGGGACTAAGTCAGCCATACAACGCAGTGTCTTAGCTACCAGAACATCATTTGTATCATTCATACCCTCTTGCAAATATGGGAGTATGCACTCCATTATCTCATCCTTCGAAAGTAGTCGTACGAATTCCATAAAGTATTCTAACAATATTAAACGTATCTGTGCATCACGGAGCCTAAACATTTTCTTTATATGTGGCATGACGTAGCGCACGTATGTCGGGTTAGAGAATAAGGCTGCCGAATGATCGATTTTCGTCTTTAGCACGTAAGGCGTAACGCATAACTGCGCAGTGGGATCAAGCAAAACCATGCGCGAGAGAAGATCAGCAGCTAATTGAGCGCCAACCACTTCTTCATGAAAATAGCGAAGGCGATCGATAAGGCCAGTGAAGAAATCCTGCTTCTCTTGCAAACACTTTAAGGGCAATTCAAACAGAAAGGAATGTATAAGTACAAATTCATGATTGAAGTATGGATGTAGCAGTACGGCCGAGAGACGTGGCCGTAAATGTGCATTATTATGTTTTAGGTGGGTGGAACAATAGTCGCGAAATTCTTGCGAGTGTGGAGTTTCTGTGGTCTCTTTTTTGCTGCACTTATTCAAAACTTCTTCGCAGAGTGTTGCGAAAGCATATTGCTCAACGGCATCAATAGTATTATCTTTGCATTCGCCGGAATCAACGGCTTTAGGATAGCGATAGGTTTTTACAAAATCAAGCAATGTCTTTGTTATTTCCTTATTTTTCCATACATATTCAAAGCCAGCCAAACGCCAGCTACCATCGTCTGTTATGTAAATTGATGAGATACAAATGTTAAGGTGGCGCCCCAAAGCCTGTTGAAATTCGTATTTAAAACAGGGGGCACAGGAGGTCAGAGTATATACACATTTAAAGCACAATGACACAATGTAAAATTAAACTTTTCAAAATGGTAACGAATAAATCAAATTTAAACGAAAGAAGGGTTTTTTCATAATGGGTTTTTGAATAATTTAGATGAGACCATGGCGCAATAATAATAATAATATAATGCCACCATGAGATGAGACATGCAAATTTTGTGATAATTGTTTATATAAATGTGCTTTTATGTATGCGAGCTATGGTTTTGGTGCAATAGGGAGTTAAGTATTTGTTAAAAATTAAAAGTACGAAAATCTGCTTACCTTCTCCACTAAAAATATTAAACTGCAGAGAATAGTTCGCAATCCCAGGCAGACTTGTAAATTGTTTTGTGTCGACAAAACGGAAGTCAAAGGGCGTACACGTTCTGTGGCTAAATGTTTTTGACCGCCTTGTTCCCAGGTGCTGACATATTTCAATATATATGGATGCCGATATATCATTAAATTCTAAATGAAAACGTGTTAACTTTCTTTTACGTTAAATTATAACGACATTTAGGCATTTATTTACCTTTATAGCGCGTTCCAGGGGGCCCTGTGTCACCCACAGTTGTCCATTTACTACCGGTTCACCTTGAAACACGGAAAGTAGTTGACGACCGTCCTCATTGGATGTGGTTGGCGATTCCGCATTGTAAAGTGTCCAGAAGTCGTTTGCTTCTACAGAGTTCTTATCAATTACTAATCCCTTTAGGCGACTACTATCGTTGCCCATTATGTTCACTGCGTCGCCAAAAATAACTCAACACTTACACTTGAGCACAACTTATATTCTTGAAAATGAAAATTGCACTTTTATCAATGCATTTTGTTGATTTAAAAAAAAATTTCACTAAATTTTTTCGTATACAATTTTTTCCACATACACAATTGAACAATTCTTCACAGACGTTTTGTGTTGTTTTTTTTTTCAGTTGTTGAGCGCAAGTGTTCGAGACTCGAAGTCACAGCTGTTCAAATTGAACTGTTGCATTCTTAATAAAACTTTCGGTTAAAATATTCAACGAATGTAAAGGGTAGAGATTCATTACAAGATTATAAAAAAGACCGCTTATAGTAAATTTATGTCTTTACAGGGCTATTAATCTTGAAGTTATTTAAGAGAAAGCCTATTAGCCATTTCTGTGGATAGCGGATGTGACCCTTTTCGCTTGAAATTAGGATAATTAAATTACAAAAAATTCAACATACCTATATATCTTTAGTTAAAAGACAGTTTTCCCTTCCTTTCTTTGTGTTTTGCACGTATTGAAGATTTGTATAGTTTAATTTTAAGTCATTTGAAAAAACAATAATTTAATATTTGCAACTCAGCTCGTTCATAGAAAAGTTGGCTGCTTTTCACATTGGCATTTTGCTTCCGTTCTGTCAAAGTAATGGATGATATTGCCATCTCTTTCTTTTTCTTTTCACCTACGTGTGAAGGCATCGCGTATTTCACGTCGGTGTGAATTAAATTAATAATTTCGTAAAAATGGTGAGTTAATAAATTAAATTTGTGCAAGAATTCAGCCCGCAATATTTCAGTGCAAGTAAATAAAGTAAAATTTTGCAATATGTGCCATCGATGCTTTGGAAATTAGAAGATTGAATGTCGCCGAACTAATCGTGTTTTTGTTTCATAGGGTTTCGTCAAAGTAGTCAAGAACAAGCAGTACTTCAAGCGCTACCAGGTCAAATTCCGGAGGCGTCGTGAGGGTAAAACAGATTACTACGCTAGGAAACGTTTGATCTTCCAGGACAAGAACAAGTACAACACACCAAAGTACCGTCTAATTGTACGTTTGTCCAACAAGGATATCACCGTACAAATAGCCTACGCCAGAATTGAGGGTGATCGTGTTGTCTGCGCTGCCTATTCCCATGAGTTGCCCAAGTATGGAGTTAAGGTGCGATATACCAAATTAGCTATAAATTGAGGTTATGTTATGAGTACATTATTGCATTTTTCCTAGGTGGGTTTGACCAACTACGCTGCATCATACTGTACTGGTTTACTCGTTGCTCGTCGTATCCTCAACAAATTGGGTCTGGATACCCTTTACGGTGGTTGTACTGAAGTTACAGGTGAAGAATACAACGTAGAACCCGTCGATGATGGTCCAGGCGCTTTCCGTTGCTACTTGGATGTTGGTCTTGCACGTACAACCACTGGTGCTCGTGTATTCGGAGCCATGAAAGGTGCTGTCGATGGTGGTTTGAATATTCCACATTCTGTGAAGCGTTTCCCCGGCTATAGTGCTGAGGCTAAGAGCTTTAATGCCGATGTCCACCGCGCCCATATTTTCGGTCAACATGTTGCTGATTACATGCGCACTCTTGAGGAAAACGATGAAGAAAGCTTCAAACGCCAATTCAGCCGTTACATCAAATTGGGAATCCGTGCTGACGATGTGAGTGACCATACAAAATTACATTGTAAATCTTCACGTCCATTTTCAAAATTACCGCTGTGTCTTGTTGCCCACGACACTGGCTGTGCCAAAAGTGGACCACATCAATTTTTAGGAACCTGTGTTCGAAGTTTATCACTCCTAATCAATGTGATATGTTTCCTGTTATGGTTGCACAATGTTCAATTTCAAAAAAAAAAAGTACCCAAATTTGGAATAAACTTTTCATTTATTATTTTCAGCTTGAAACTATTTACAAGAAAGCCCACCAATCCATTCGCGCCGATCCTACCCACAAGAAGAAGGAAACTAAGAGCGGCGGCGTGAAGAAACGGTGGAATGCTAAGAAACTCACGAATGAACAGCGTAAGGTGAAGGTCGCCGAACACAAGGCTGCCTACATTGCCAAGCTGAAGTCCGAGTCTGAGGCCTAAATGCACTCAAATGGACATGTGGGGAAAACTCTAAAACTTTATTATTATATTAAAATAATAATATAGGATTTTATTTACAGTAAAACAACTCTTTTCTTTTTTAATTTGTCGAGAGATCGTCGGAATATGTAGTCACCGTTAATGCAAAGGCCGTAATTGAAAGATATGTCATTTCGCAGAAGAAAAACAGACTTGGGGCTGGTTTTAAGCTGTATAAAACGTAGGCTAACTTTTGACTTAAGTCCAAAAAGTGGCTAAACTAAGTTGAGTTGGAGAAACCAGCCCTTAATGTTTTCATAGGACATGCTTACATAGCTGTTCTAAAGATGCAAATAATTCTCGTAGTTTTTAAGATGTGGCTTTGAACTTTGGTCTGCTTGGCCAACGGCCCGGTTGGCTTCAGAAACTTTATCCACATAATTAATTTTCGTGCTGCTCATCCAACCCAACAAAAAAATGAGAATACATTCATATAAAAGCTTTATTTTCAAAAAAATGTGATTAATACTTAATATGGGTTTTAAGTAATCCATCTTAGCAGCGAAATACGAAGGTTGCGGTTTGTTCTTTCGTATTCAACGGGAGTGCGACCCTTTAACAAACATCCACAACGTTAATAAATTTCTTAAGTCTAAATAGCTAATAATATATAGAATAGCATTGAAGAGGAATTATATTTGTATCCTTGAGAAAGTGGACAGTTTTTAGGAATATTTTACAAGTGATTAGAGAATGCATGCGATGTTGTATTTTCTTTTTATGTACTTCTACCGAATTGCACTAGCTGCTCGCCTAAACTACAGCATATTAACAGATCTTTAACCATATTTTTTAAATTTCCTTTTGATTTGATGATCGTTTTATTTTGCTAAATAATGTAAATCGTACGCTAGCTTAGAGTGAAAAGCACATACATATAAATAATAAAATTATAGTTTAAAAAACTAAAACCTCGCTATTATAATTTCCATTCGTACTATCATCAGGTACATATGTAACTTGAGAATAGAAATCGCTGCATGTTTTAGGCGCATCAATATTACATAGTTACATCCCGAGCTAATAAAAGGGAGGTAAAAAGGAACTTTTTGATGAGGGAAGCAAGGAAAAGTAAAAGTGCCTCATTTCCAAAAGGGTCGAGCTACCAGTTGCCAGTACTAAAAAGACACGAGGCAATTCGAAAAGTTCAGAGGAATATGAAAACCTTTCAATAAAATCAAGTTCAACCCATTATGTGGATGTTAGTTTTACTGTGAATACGTGAATGTGTTGTATTCAAAGTTTTGCAAAATACTTTAAAAAAATTATTTTGAGCTCTTCTGTACTTTTGAAATAATTGATATCAGCAACCTTTCACTCTAATCTAGGCGCTTTGTTTTGATGAATAAAAAATCCTTTTGATATAATTAAAATCTATGATAGGTTTCTATTGCAAGAGCAGTGCAAAGTCGTCATCTTTATTAAAATCGCTGGGATTGCAAAATTCGCAGTGTTCATCCTCGATGCCGCCGGGAACACACTTAGAATGGTAGACATGACCACATAAGAATACAACAACATCATTTAGAGGCGCAATGTTTGCGTTCATGCTAAGTACAGAACGATTACATTTTAAGCAATGCTCAGAAGATGACACGCAACGGCCTCGATTTTGTGTATTAACTACTCTAGCATGTTGGTCATAATAGTATTGTAGTTGAATCTCTTGCGCGGTTTTACGAATTTCCACCTAAATTATTGAATGAATTTTTCATCCACGTACATATGCATGATTGTACCTACCTGTAAACGATAGTCCCACAAAAGCTTAACTACAGCATCGCGAAGACCGGGTATTTTTTGGCCAAGTTTAATTTTTTCAACAACTGCGACAGGATCAACGTAATCTATGGAAATGTTAACGGGAATCCGTTATTTGTCGTCTCGTTTATTTTATTATTATTAATGTAATACATACTATGTATGTATATACATACTTTCTTATGCCACACACTTACCTACTATACCGTCCAGGAGTTTGAGTACAATGGCGGGCTCCTTCACTGATTCATCGATCAGTATATTCCACAAATCCGAATCATTGTGCTCCTTACAGAATTCAATTGCCATTTCAATATCTTTTATCTAAGCCAAATACGTTCGTTCAGTTAAATCGGACATTTGAAATAGACAATAAGTTTCACTTACCTTCTCAATGATAATATTTAACGCCTCTGTGGTATTACCCATTTGCCCCAACAAATATACCATTTCAGGGTAAAATAATTCACGTTTACATACATCCAAAGCCTCTTGCATGGGATAGTGATTGGATCGTTTTAGAAATGGTAGCAACTTTTCTGGTTCGTATTTTGCATACAACTTCACCAGTTTCCAATGGTATTTACCACTTTTGTCGACTTTGTCCAAAGCATCCAAATACTGTAAAAACCAATTTATTTAAAGCGCAAGTATTACGGTATAAGTCATTTGCTCAGTCTCACCCAATATAAATACTCTTGATTTTGCTCCAATTGCTGTACAACAATTTCCGGTGATATTTTGTTTCGTTCGAATAAAACTTTAAATGCACGCTCACGATCCAGTTGAAGCAGTGGTATAATCATTTTATGTATAGCATCATAGAGATTATAACGCCGAATCATTTCGAATACATCAGAGTTTTGTAATCTGCAATTTAACAGTTTTTTTTTTTTTATCTTTAAAATGAAATTGTGAAAATTATAATTTCGAACAACTTACTTCAAGTACATTCTCAATGCACTTTCATAGTCACGCTGATGCAAATAGAGTATTGCTAGTGCCTCTAATAACTCATTCGCATTCTGTTTTCGAAAATTGTCGTGTATTGCGTTTATGACTGCCGTGCAATTATATAAATGAGATGGCCATTCTTTTATGAGATTCAAAAATCCCTTGACATCAAATTTTAAATACTCATATAGCACCATCTCGTATACATGAGGGTCAAGCTTACAGTCGTCGGAGGTAGGTAGATAAGCGCTAACCGAACGCAACTGTTGGCATCTCACAAATTTGAACACTTCCTCCTCCCAAAGAGATTTTTTGTTGCCCAAAACACGTAGACATAATTTAGCAGCATCGTCGAATTTATTTATCGCGAGTAGGTGATTTATATACAGTCTATGTGTAAGATGCATATTTTTTAAGTTAGAAAATCAAATAAACATATTAAATAAAACGCGATACATACTTGGCTACAGATAGTAACGACCAGCTTCCGCCGTGTGTTGATATAACTTCCATTGCTTCTTCAAATTTGCTGTAAAATTTAATGAATATTTTGACTTTTAAATTAAAATTATCGCTATCAATAGAATAAGTTACTAAACGATTTTTTATATCCTGAAACATAATTGTTTCCCTCTTTCACAACAACAGGCGACGGAAGTTAAGTGTTGCCACACCAACGTAATTACTTTCAATGTGGCATCACTGTTTTCGCTTGGGCCATTAAAAAAAATGAAAAATCGGTAACAAGTAGATTTCGCACATTGTTTTAATAAAAAAGTGTCAATTATAAGCGTTGGTATGTAGAAATTTAATAAATGAATTAACTTTTTAAAGAGATCGTATGCAATTTTTCAGCCAAACGAAAATTACACGCACGTCAGTATCAGCATGTAGAAGCAAGGCAATATTTATTGGCACATACTCGTACACACATCCGCACTTTCGTTTGGCTTTTCTAGGGTGCGGAAGGACAACAGCTTCACAATTATCCGTTCATCCGCTCGTTCGCTTCAGACACGCAAAACGGAGCGTGAAAATGAAATAAAAAATGTTACGGCTGCTGTTTATTCTGAAAAAATGAAGCGCTTGAATAATCTGATAACACTCTTTACTGCAATGGTGGCTTTTTTCTTTGGCTGCTTCTTAAGTGGCATGCTAAATAGCGCAGAAAAGTGTTTGACGCATAAGAGCGGTGTCAGTCGTATGGAGCCACATCCAGATATTTTCTTGATGATATTGGTGGTTACAGCTCCAAAGAATGTTAATCGGCGACACAAGCTGCGTCAAACTTGGTTGAGGCGTGGGCAACCGCTCGAAATGCCTTACTACCCGGAAAGCTTGATATATGTGCCCAAGTATGCTGAAAGTGGTCATTTAATTATGGAAAGCGTGACGGACCAATCGAATCGTTTGGCAGCTTACCTTCATTGGATCGATAACAACATGAATCATGAAGAATTATCGCGGAGACTTATAAAAGTGAAACATTTTTTTGCCGTTGGCACGGAAGGCATGCCTGCCGGCTTACGTGCAGAGTTGGATAGGGAGCAAAAACTTTATGGAGACATGTTGCTTTTACCGCGTTTGCAAGACAACTTTGAAAATTTAACCGAAAAGATGTTACATTCTATAGAAGCACTTACAAATCACTACGAATTCAGCTATCTACTTAAAACGGATGATGACACGTACGTGAAGTTGAACATTTTGCTGAATGAACTCGTGTCTTATGACCGTAAATTGGTGCGAAAAACCACGAAGTATAATGGCCAACCATTACCAGCTCTCTACTGGGGCTATTTTCAAGGAAGGTCGAATGTGAAAACAAAAGGAAAGTGGCGGGATATAAACTACCGTCTATCTACCCATTATATAACGTATGCCATGGGAGGTGGATATGTGATTTCACGTAAAATCTGTGAACATATTGCAACAAATGCACAAATACTTTCGCCTTATACAAATGAAGATGTATCAGTTGGTTTATGGGTGGCTCCGTTACGCTTTGTCTATCGTCGTCATGATCCACGTTTTGATACACAGTATAAACCGCGGAAGTGCCGTCGATATCACATAGTACTGCACAAGCTAAACGAGGAGGAAATGCAGCAGATAGATGACGGCAGTGTATGTATAAGAGGTGGAAAGGCAATTGATGACAAAGACCAAAGCAATATCATTAAGCCTTATTTTTATGATTGGTTGAGCCCGGCTGATAAATGCTGTGATACAATCGTAAAGTAGGCAGTAATAATCTTAAACATGCAAAAAACCAATCCGAGCAGAGGCTTTACTATTTCTGCATACATACATATCCAACAATTATTTTTGTAAATGTTGGTAAAAGTAACTTAAAGTAAGCTTGCTATATTAAGTGTTAAATAAGTGCTATAGTGTTAAGTTGATTTTAAGTAAAATGAACCTTTTACATACAATTGTTTAGAGCTAATTTTAAAAATCACTTAATTTCAAAAGTTAGATGCAAATTTTTACGACGAAGCCATACCAAGAAAATATACTTTCTTTTTATTAATATCACTGGATCAAAAATTTTAATTTGGTTTTTGTTCTGCAGACGCCACTAACAAATTTGTATGTAGAATCGCCCGCTGATTCCAAAAATCGATTAAATTTTATATTCTATGGATACGTTTTCGAGATACATATATATGCAAAGTAACCACTTTTTGTTTTAAGCTGAATAACGGTAAATTGAAAATATCTTGAAAACCTATCCATAGAATAAAAAACTAAGTCGATTTCCGGAATCAGCGAGCAATTCTTTATAGGAATTGGATAGCGGCATCCATTGAACATTTTTGCTGTAAGCCATTTATTTATTATAAATTTATATTCATACGCTTATAAACAAGGTGGCCGTTTTTATTATATTACCGTTTTTTCAAGTGTTTTATAAACCAAAATTTTGCGTTTGGTATGCTTTTTGTTAATTTTAGTAAACTCTTAAAAAACCTTTAAGTTTATTTTGCTTGTTGGATATGTACATATTTATGTATACGTATGCGAGTATATCAATTTTACATATTATGCATTATTCATACATAAAAAGCGTATATTTGGGTATTTAATAAAAATCTACAGACAAATAAACTTCTAACTAATATAAAAAATGAAGATTTTTAAAATTAGCTTAGTAACCAAATTATTCAAAAATTCATAAATATTTTTGTATAATTCTCTTCTCTTAGAAAGCTTTCATAGCACTGATAACATAAATCGCAAGTGATTCGAAATATATCTATATCAGCAAAAAAATTGCACACTTACCGATGGTCAACTAGCCATTTGACCCTATCATCCGTTTCGTAAAGACTTGCAACGACTATATCCTTTGGTGCAACAATAAAATAACGATTTTCCTCAATAATACATCCTAAACTGTAATCATTAACTGTATATTCTTGATATCTGAAAGGCAATTTTTTCAATACATGAAATCCTTTTTAAGTGAAATTCTATAATTGTTCCTTACCCACGCAATGACAGACTATCAGTGCAAATCTCTTCGCTGGAATTCAACTTATACTCCATAACACAAAGCACCGGTCTCAGTGATTTACGTTCCGCATCTTTTTCCTTTGGACAACCCAATACGACCAATTGATTGGATGTGAGTGGCGCCAAGCCGGATATGTGGAAGGTTGTTTGAAATGTTGAAACTGACAAAATTTTCAATTTTATTTCTTTGTTGTAAAAAAATTGTGAAAAGGTTGTTCATACTCGGGTCTACGATGAAACCGGGCAAATCTCGTGAAGCTACTTCAATAGAATTTCGTCTCCGTATGACACAGATCCGTATTGTATCCACCCAGCCTATAAGCAAAGTTGTTGCATTTGACCAGCGGAAATTACAACGGAAATTCTCTAAGCGGGAGCTAAAATTAATCAAAACTTCAATGACTTGAATGAATGAGAATTTTAAGTAGGATATGTATATCTTACTTTGCTGGTTCTTCCCACTTCATTAGACCTAATGAACACTTTTCATTTAGATCATAGACCCGCACCCCTAGATAGCTGGCCCATGCAATGAAGGTACCATTCCAGCAAACTGATAATACATATCCCTCAGCGCTGGATAACACGGTTGTCTTTAATTTCTTGAGAAAATTCTTTTCATACAGCGTTAACTTATCATCGCCTGTAAAAAAATTTAGATCAACAAATGCTACCCTTACATAACATGAGCCAATATACTTCTTAATAGAAAGATTATTTTCTTTTAAGCTTTTCACAATGCTAAATTTTGAGTTGTGTCACTTTTGAAGATTGTTTGCGATTCGTATATCTTTGTTAATCCAAATATCGCACACCATCTACAAAAGAGGCACAACTCAAAAATCAGATCCGAAAAAATAACTGCTTATGGATCGTGCACATCCATCGCGATTAATAACAGTAGTTTTCTAGTTAGAGAACATGATAATCGTGAAGAATAACCTATTTGCATTAGTTCGACCTTTTTTTTTTGAGTGTTGCCACTTTTGGAACGTGTGCGATTTGTAAACATGCTTACCTACAACAAACCGTTTTCCAGCAGGTGTCTTGGGATCTGGATCTAAAGCTATTGCTTTTATCGATTTCGCGAAGTTCAAGTTCTGATTATTTTCATCACTGAATAGGCCGGTTATATTTACCTAAAAATTGTTGATTTTTTAGATAATTGTTTGAAAGTATTGTAATAAAAGCACAACCTTGCCGTCATCAGAGCAAGTGGCCACGTATTCTGCCTTGGCGTCTACATCCATGTGATTGACGGCGACAGTATGTGAAAAATCGGTTGGAGCATCTGAAAGATGTGAAGTCACGGAATTGCCTTGGTGATCGAATATATAGATACGGCCCAAAAACGTGCCAAACATCAAAAACTGTAAAATAAATTATGAATGATATCTCTTTATAATAACTTTTATGTATTTCTGTCAATGTTTTATGTAGTCTCTGTTAAACGCGAAAAAAGTACATACCTTCGGGTGCACTGCACTACAGGTGACAACATCTGAGTTGAGAATTTTTCGCAGGTCATTGGCAATACGTTGATACTTAAATTTTGGTTCAATTTCATCCTCAGCACTTTCGGTTTCTGTGTCCTGCAAATCAATTTTATGTTTACATATTTACCTATGCATTATGTATGTATTTAGGTACAGGCGAAAACTTTATTTTTTTACTTACGCTATTGTTAACAGGCTCTTGCTCAGCCATAGTTAAGATGATAAGCTGAACGTTTTTAACACACACTGCGAATCTTTAATTTTTTGTTTTATTCTAAGCGGGTTCAAAAAGTGTAAAAAGCAATTGCACGGCAAAACAAGCTGGGACAAAACAAATTTTACGGAAAACTGCTCAATCAGCTGTTTGGGAAAACAATAAGCAGTGTTGCCTTGTTATGATTTTTCCCTTGCTTGACGTATTTTACCCGATCCGTAGCCTGGGTAAAAGATTGTCGTATGTTGATTTCGGCAGGTTGTGGGAAATCGCGATTGAAGTTTGGAATGCAATTTCTCAAAAACGCGAAGATAGGATATTCTCCAAAGTCTCTGAAAATGTTACTAGTTCACAAAATTCTTAAATTATTTAATTTTTACAGCCGATTTCACGAAAGCAATTTAAGTGAAAAATTATTTTAATTTTTTGAATTTTATACGGAATTTGACAGAAAATAAAAATCATTTTCCATTTAAATCACTGTTAATGTTTAATGTTAATTAGCTTTGAGTTTGTGAAGGATTTTCTTTATTTATTTATTTACACTTAGGTATTTTTTATGCTGTATATGCGTTCTTCAGAAAGCCGCATAGAAAAGTTCTTTGCTTTCATACAAAAACAGGGGTTGCGCTCCAGCGTAAAATGGTTTGAAAACCCGCATAAATTCAAATCCGCATAAAAAACCGCGTAAAATGAGACCTAAAATGGAATACAAATCCTTACTGACAGAACGGACTGTTCAAAATTAGAGAGACAGATCATATCCTGAAAGCTCATTTAACCCAGAGAGGGTTCTGTTGTAACAGCATAAAAACTCTCAAGAGCTTTTTTCGATTCAGCTAGAGTGACAGTATTTTGCCAAATATACACCTGGGTCGGTCCGGTTACGTAGAGTCTACTGTTGTAGCAAACTCTATAAAGGACCCAAAACTAAAAGGAGTACAAAACTAAAATAAAAAGAGTACATTTCCCAATGTTTTTTTTGGAGTAAAATGGAGTACATTGCAATAAAAAGGAGTACGTTTACTCCCAAAAGCAGTACGTCTGGCAACCCTAACCCTTTATCACCGTTGCGGGAGAGGAATCGAAACTGCACGTTTCTTGGGCCTGGAAGCCTCTAACATGGGCATTCAGTTGACTTCGTTTCAACATTTCGAAATTTATCAGGAAAAGCTGCAGAAGTGTGTAAGGCCTATACGGAACCCGGATTAAGAAAATGAAACAACTATTTTATTTTTGTGTTCCTTTATTTTTGATTTTCAATAGCTTTTAGCACTTTCTAATAATTTTGCTCGCCATATTTCGAATTGCTTCGAATCTCGCTATATATTTTATATATGTATGTATGTATGTATGTAAAATTTCATTTTTCAAAATACAATAAACGTTTATAAATATGTATCATGATGTTTATGTTTTTTTTATTATTTATATATTCATCTTGGTTTTTTGCTAGTTTACCTTTCTCAAGAAATAATATTGGGAGAAGTGTATACTACTTAAGCATAAGTATCCATGTACGTACATATGTACATACATGGTATATGTATGTGCCCTTATATGTATGAGAATAAATGAACTTCCTGTGTGACGCTAAATATTTTTTTATTTTTAAGGTTAATATTCATTCGCTATCAGCTACTTTAAAAGAAAAAGAGTTCAATGAATTTTATAGACCTGTACGTACATATGTATGTAGATTTGGACAGAATATAAAGAAAAATCTAAAACTGTTTTTTACAACAAATATGAAGCTACATACATACGTACAACTCCAGAGACCATTCGCTTAACAAAGACAACCATAAAAAGTAAAAAATAGAACTAACACGTTTTTAAAATTTCGAAAGATCAGTTTTAGATTTGTGACTAAAAATAAAGTAAAAATTTACAACTCTTTTGAAGTGCTGTTGAAATGATAATACAGCGCAATTTAAGCATTGATAGTGTTTTCAATAATCAATGCATTCTAGAATGATTTACTAATTTAAAGTCTTCAAACCATTACGATACTAAAAATTTGCTGTAGAAACTACCTTAAAATATTTTAAGAATAATAATACAATAATCTTGTTTTGGGTTATTTAATAATTATTTAATAAGATATGCAAACAAAACTCTAATAAGTAGTTACATAAATAGCATTTTAAAGGACATATTTCTGATTTTTTGTTTTGCATTTTAAATGAAAACTAAAAAATATAATGACATAAAACATAAAAATATTTTACAGCTAAGCCCTTATCGCAAGTACGAACAGTAAACGTTTTAATGAAAAATAATACCCAAAGGGTGAAATACATAGGTTGTTCTGCAAGGAAATATTAGCGGGGGACAGTAACAGGTAAATATTTCAATACAAAATAACAAATAAAAAGTGAGTACAAAATATTTATATAAAAAATATACAAGAATTAGTATCAGCAATTAATTGATTGGTGTTTTTTCTTTCAACAGCGCTTCGCTGTTTTGTGTTTCAATTGATATACATAATTTCATCGGAGGTGTGAAATTTCTTCTGACTCATATTTTCGTCGTTCTAAAAGTGCTGTGATCTATTTTGTCAGAATTTCTTTAGCTGTTTAAATTTCGAAGGTTTTCGCATAAAGAAGCACTAAATTATAAATACTATAGTCTAATAAAATACTTAGCATACATACATACTATATGCATATGTGTATGAAAGTTTGTGTTTTTAATATGCACGCATTTAGTTAAGTCGTTGTTAATTAAAAAATTTCGCAATAACATTTTCAGTGCTTACAAAAATTATCAGTAATTTCGTATTTATTCTTGTTTTTAACGTTATTCCATTGCCGTATGTATGTAGCTTGAATTTTTCCCATATAATAAATCTTCATAAATTATAATACGGGTATTCATATAACGAGATAAACTGCCGATAAACTTGATAAAATTATAAATTCCATACAATTCTATAATTTTATCACGTTCATAGCCAGGTTATCATGTTATATGTATATCCCTAATGTTTATAAGCAATTAAATACACGGTACTAAAACTAAAGCAAAGTGTTTACGTGGACAAAAACACAAGTACTGCCAACTATTCTAGTTTTAGTCCTATAATGCAAAACTTGTTGTTTTTGTTGTTTACGTCTCCCCTCCCTTTTTCTACCACATTTAGGCGACAAATTCAACTGCTGTATTCATTACTTTCGCCCAGAGTCCAGTAGTGATCAAGGATGTCCTCGCTGGTGAAACGCACTTCCGGATCCGATTGCAGCATGTTCGCAATTAGGTCACGTACACCATCTCCGATATCTGACCAATAGGGCTCCGGAAATTCATAGACTCCAGATATAATGGCATCAAATAGAGGTTCTTGTTGATTGTCGGGTGAAACGAAAGGTGGAAAACCGCAAAGTAGGATGTATAATATAATACCAGCTGCCCAGACATCGATCTTTAATGAAGTTAATTTTATAATTATTACTTTAAAATAGGGTTCTACAACTCGCTTGTTTACTGGAAGTGCGTCATAACTCAAAAAATCCAACAACTCATAAATAACCATTAAAATAAATAACAAAAAATATAACAAATATTATCTAAAAATTCAATTTAGAGACAAAGCTGTTATCAAAGTTTAGTTCCTTATTTTTTTTCAATGTGCGATTAGCATAGCATAGCTAGCAAGTTATATATAATTTCAAATAGCTATTTCCTAAACGAAATGAGTGCAAAATAACATGTTTTTTTTTCAAAATTCACCTTCAAACCGTAGCCTGTTTCCATTAGTATCTCTGGTGCAACATAAGTTGGCGTACCACAAACGGCGTACAATGGTTCAGTCACTTCACAGGCCAAACCAAAATCAGCCAGTTTTAGCTCGGTTACACAGCCATTAGCGTCTAACTCAACCTGAAAAATAAAGAACCACTTTTACGGCATTTTTCAAATACCCTAGATAGAATATCTACCAATAGGTTTTCAGGTTTGATGTCACGATGCACAATGCTCATGGAATGTAAATAGGCCATTGCTGAGGCCAAATGCTTGATCATCACTCGTGATTGATTTTCGGAAAATCGTGTTACGCGTGTTATAGCATCGAAAAGATCACCACCTATAAATTCCCAAATCAAAAAGATTTCTTCACTAAAATCATGCACAAGACTCACCACTTACGTACTCCAGCACCAAATACATATTTGACATCTGATCGACATCTATGATTAATGAAATAATGTGTGGATGTTGTAACTTCTTCATCACACGCACTTCGGCATCAATATAGTGCTCTTTGCCTTTACATTTACTTTTATCGATAATTTTCAGCGCATATGGCAAGCCACTCTGTCGATCTTTGATCTTCAGTACAACGGCAAAATTACCATCACCTATAATCTGTCCCAATGCGTAACGTTCACGTATAACTCCAGGCAATTCGTTTGCATCTATACCGCTCTCATTTAACGCTGTCAAATCTTCGTCGACAATCTGATCACATGGCTCTTGCTGGTGATTTTGTTGATGCTTGGCGCTATTCAGATTTTTACTCTTTACGGGCATTTTCGGTTTGGGACCCTTGCATGTTGTTCCTGCTGTACGTAGCGACTTCCGTATCGCTTGTATGGCTTTGTGTTCGTCGGGTTCGAGTTTAAAATCATCTGGATTGTTGACCCTCTCTGTGCCATAGGCAAAGAAAACGTCATCGGGACCGAAAAAATCAGCTAGCTGCACAACTGGACAGCCGGAGAGGGTAAATACTTTACGTACATAAGTATCGAGGCGTACAACTTGCGTGATGGCTGTTAGTACATGATCAAAGCTGGGGCTATTGCGTTTATTTAGCAAAAGACGCATTATCTATGTACAATAAGACAAAAAGTGTGTGCATTTAATTGAATGAATAAAGAATAATAATTAGGGGATTCACTAGATGTCATAGACCTCGTAAAATCTTAAAGTCGTAAAATAACGGCTAACATCTTTTTAAGAATTTGTAACTAAACCAAAATGTTTTCAAACTGATGAAAAATGTTTAATTAGCCCGTTGTATATTCTGCGGATTACCTAAAACCTAATGGTGGTGTGCCTAGATGTAGAAACCAAAATACCGCTTATTGCACATAGTCCTTACTTTTGAAGAATTATGTATATCAATGAAAACTTTAGAACGTACTAAACCCCAAGACAGCCCAGTAAGCTATTTTTGCGGTCATAACAATTAATAATAATAAAAAAAAAAATGTTTTCTTCGTAACTTTGTAACGGTAATACTTGCGGTTGTGATATTTTGTGAGATAGCTTGAATCATAAAATATTACAGATTTCTGCCAAAAATACTAAAATCTAAATTGCGTAGAGGGCTGGACATGTTTTTGTTATGATTTTTTTTTATTCACTATCGCCGCTGAAAAAATTTGCTTCAAAAATTGCGCTAATTGTCTACCTCTTTTGCGAAGTTACGCCAGTTAAATAAATAGTTATACGAAAAAATAACTTACGGTTCGTGGCTTGGTGCCATTTCTTATCAACGTTACTATACGGGGATGTACGACGCTTTCGCGTTCGCTCAGCTTAAACAATGGACTACCGTTAGTGGCGCCAGATGTGGTATTTGTGCCATTACCGCCCATGCCACCCCCAGGTACTCCGCTGCCCCCGCTATTGTACGAGTTCGTGCCATTCTTAAGTGGTGACGATGGACGATAGGCCTTTGACAAGCGATTGCTTGCCTTATTGGAGAGTGTTAAGTTGGCCAGTGGTTGTGAAGTGGTGTTGTATTCGATTTTCTTAAAATTCTCGTTATTACAGGAACAAACATAGCTTTGGCCGTCCTCTAGTTCGTCCAAAGAGGAGATCTAATAAGTAAAAATAAATGCAAGTAGTATTATCGCGAGAATGGATTATGTTTCGATTACTCACCTTTTTGCCACACATAGTATAAATTGTACGCACAGCCCCTGGAATTTTTACGTTATCCTCTAATAATCGAGTTAAGTCTTCAAAAAGGCTTTCAAATGATCTGCAGTAAAATATAGAAAAATTAAATATTAATAATACCAAATTGAGTTTGCATAAACTTTTATTTAGCTCACCTATAACGTTCATTTGAGACTGGAATGGTAATACCCGGATAGAATCGATCGCCATTGCGATAGAATTTTATTCGTCTCGCTTTGCGTGTAGGTGTTCGGCTGCTAGAAATACGCTTCTTCACCTGTGCCAATGAATTTGCTGCTGTCACTGCACCTGTAGTAGTTATTGAGCTATTGCTAGCATTTGTTGTATCGGTACCATTGCCATTTATTAATGCTTCAGTAGATGATGTCGTTATTGCTGCTGCTGCGGCTGTGGTCACCGACGTTGTGAGACCCGTGGTCGAACTTGTGGCGGAGGCACCGCTCAGCGAACCATTTGATTTGCAATTAAGCTCAGCACCCAAACTTACGCTGCCACTATTCAGCGAACTATTCAAATCCAAATCTTGCAGCTCTTTTTCGATTTCGGAATTCGAACTGGCCGGACTATTGCTGCGGCTTAGCGTAATGATGCTGCTATTCAATTGAGTTTGCTGCGATTGCGATAAAGCTGGCGGTGATATGAGGGAGTTATTTAGGTGATTGTTCACCGTTTGAACTTCCATTCTGAAAATACAAATTAAAACAAAAAGCGAAATTAGCCACACACACACACAAAAATATGTATGTACATTAGGGTGGTCCTTAAAATGTCAAATGAACAATTTTTTTTCAGTCTCACGCCCTCAATCAGTAATAGCACGGTCACAGATATCACATATACATTTTTGGTCCCGATTGGAGACAGTTAAGGCATGTCGCACAGGGGGCAGAGTACAGATGGCTCTATAGAGACTCAAAAAATTTAAATTCATTTTTTTTTTCATCTAATACCCAAAATCGATACTACCATAGACGAGGATATCACATATGAATTTTGGTCCCGATTAGAGTCGGTTAAGACGTGTTGCAAGGGGGTCAAAGGCCATGTGCCTCTATGGACTCAAAAAATTAAAAATAAAGTTTTTTTTCGAAAAAATTAACATCCCTTATATGTATGTATGTATGCATATAAATTCGCCTATCTTGGGGTAACATGCGCAGGCTTGCGGAAAATTTCTTGTTCAATATACATACACACAAAAAAATTCCCTACATTTTAAGATATATTAAAAATCTGCCCTTATTCCCTACACACGCATTTTTAGCGCCGAGACATGTGGCATCAGTGATATAGACACAATTAAATTTAGATAAATGGTGCAATTTCTCTTTAAAAAACTAGTTTTTGCATTTTCTCTGTGTTAATTGTATGCGAACAGTATACGGTATACATGCGCATATCGCCACCTGAAACGCAACAAGACGTAACAAACATCGTCACTGAAATGGAAAAAGTCGTAACTAATATTATTATTTTTTCATTAAACGATGCGGGGATTTGTAATTCGATGATATCCATCATATCAATAAAAAAGTGAATTTTGAATTTTTTATTAGTTACCAACGACTTTTTGGATTTCAGCTACGATCTTTGTTACGTCTTTTTGCATTTCAGGTGATGATATGTTCGTTATGTTCGTTTACACAAACTGTCTATTATCTCTCCACATTCTTTTATAACCCTGCAGGAAATGTATCTAACTATAAGTTAACTTGAAGCTGATTAGGAAGGAACTAAAGGTCACTATTATCTGTATATTTTCTTTTTAGGAAAGCCAACTATATTTCTATGGCGATGGCGCGAAATAGTCAAGGGTTGTTACCTCTGCATTAGATGTCAACATAAAATATCAATAAGGAAAACAACATAACATAAAAATTATAATATAAACGTTTGAACCTCATTTAATTGTCGTGAATTCGAAAAAGTATTTGCGAAGTGCAGAAAAAAGTGTATTTAAAGTACAATTTTTATGAGGATATTTGAATAGAAACTTGTTTAATGTTTACAATTACTAGATTTTTATAGTATAACTAAAAATTATATATGTTATCGAAATTCCGCAAAAAACTAACTAAAAGTGGGCTATTTTTTAGCAATTGATAACTTTTGCTGCAGGAAAATGCATAAATGCATACACATAGACATATGAATGCATTACATTATTTGCTTTCGAATTGAAAACGTGAAAATTATTTTAGCTGTGAACTAATTATATTAAACTATAACAAAAACTTCCCACAAACTCCATGTACGAAATTATTGAAGAAATCGTACGATCGCGATAAAAGCATCCAGTATAGTAACTCATACGCCCCAGTGCACTGTGGGTAATTTGGCGGAATTTCTGGCACAGTATTTTTGCATAGAACTCACTCTAAAATTTACGGAAAAGTCATTGTACAAATAGCCGAACCATACCCCGGCTTCTACATAATTATTTTTCCATTGAAAGTATCGAAAGGAAATATGTACAAGACTAACCCTGGCGTATATCAATAGTTTCTTTCATCGACGCAGAATCACTAATACCATAAGTATGGTTCCAAAAAGATATTTAAACTAGTTTTTTTGCGTTTTCTATTTGCTTTTACACGCTTAAATTTTGTTGAATTCCAGTTTTTGGTTCTTGAAATGGGAAAAAAACGAAAATGTCAAGAGCAAAGCAAAAAACTTGAAACCTGTTGACGGTAAAGACGCATACTATGTACTCTTCCCTTTTCTTCTCAACCCCTCTCTACCACTGGCAAGCAGAATTGAATTCAATACTTGAACCGTGTAAAACCCGGTAATAGGTAAAAAATAGTGATGTGTAAGCAAATCAATGTTGCCAAATTCCCATTTTCAAAAATAAAAAAATGCATACTAAGTAGTACATATAATACAAGTAATTTTTAGCAAAAACAAAACCGACTTCAACTCTCATATAAAAAAAAAAAATATATATATATATATCTCATGATCCACTGATCGGATCTTAACCAGATTAGTATGGGACGACCACCTCTGAGACACTACCTTTCCGAATTATCGAAATCGGTTGACGTGGTCCAAAGTTATGCGGTAACATACATACATAAAAAAATAAAAAAAATATCCCGACGAACTGATAACCTCCTCCTTTTTTGGAACTCGGTTAATAAACAATATGTCCATTTCCTCAAACAAAGACTATCGAAAGTATTGATAGTACCATCGATAGTTTTACAGCTCTAAAAAGCGGCCAAACGTTGACATGAATGTAATTTCCATATCATGATTCTATTTTTATACGTTTTAGACCAGGGGTTCTTAATCTTTTTAAGATGATGGAACCCTTACTTAACACCTTTTTATTTTATGGAACCCCACATCAAATTACTAAAAATCAGAGGCAGTGCAATTTAAATATGAATAAAAACGTTTACTAGAAATAGTATACCTACATTCACTCACACAAATTAATTTCGCGGAACCCCGGTGACTTTTCTACGAAAGAAACCGTATGAAGCTCTGTTTTAGACAACTAATGAAATTTGTGTTTAGATACAATAATGAGAAATTTCTTTTCTTCTTCAAGTATAAGATTATTTTTAGTCATAAAGCACATCAAGCTACAGATGAAAACGATATCTATGTAGGTAAAAACATATGTACTTACGTGCATGTATGCAGTGCTTATGTAGCATATTTGTACTTACATACATATGTATATATGCATGTTGTATCATATCCATATCATATGTGTGTATACAGATGATATATATGAACGAACGCTAATAACTATTGCCTTTTGAAACGTCCGAAATTATTATGCTTGCAGTTAATCACTGCAATCAAGTTATAAAATTCGAACGGCTTTGTGAATGTGTGCAATCAATTTTACTGGAATCATAAAATATTCGCAGCTACAATGTATGCAATGCATACTATACAGCGGTGGCCAAAATACATGCTAACACTACTTTTTCTAAAAAAAAAAAAAAAAAAAAAAAATAAAGATTTAGTTGATTAAAGCAGATATAAAAATGGTACAAGCTTGAAAAGTTCATTTACTTTCGGAATAACGAATTTTGGGTTTAAACGAATCATCAACACTATCTTATTGATGTTTCTATATTACTAACGCAAATTATTATTATTATTCGATATAACGAACGCTATTTATTTTTGGAAATCGACTGGACGTGCTAAAAATTTCTTGTTCGGGGGTTTTTGGCATCGCTGCTTACAAATCATTTGGAATCAGGGTGCGAAAATAAACTGTATTGTACGTTACTATTTCGTTTCGTTTACTACTTCAACAGCTTGGTACAATACGAAAACAAAACGGCTGAGTTCACTTTGGCGATAGTACACTACAGTAGTTTAGTAGTTACCGACGAAACAACAAACGAAATGAATCGTGCAGAGAAAAATATATACGAATGGCTGCAATGAATAAAAACAATAAAACGGTTTTTTAATTAAATTGGATATGAAAATTTACAGAAAAAAAATAATTTTCACGTAATTGCAACGTTTGAATACATATAAAACGTACCCCATGGTACAATTGTCACAAACGAAAGGCAAACGTTTCTCGTTGGGGAAAATGACAGTTGGAATCTCACAATTTGTTTCTGACTATGTACAAAAGTGTACAAAACCACAAATTATATGATGATCGATGAACAAATGGGAATTGCTTTGTACAGTTTATTTTCGTACTCTGTTTGGAATCAAGTATTAAGTAACTCCGATGTATTTATTTTTTTTTTTCAAATTTTGTTCACTAAGTTGAAAAAGCGATTTCAAATTTCCGAAAAGTAGGTTCAAATTCGTAATCAGCGACCTGAAAAACCTCCGAGAAACAAGCTTCGACCAATTTCCATAAATTTTCAAAAATTTGTCCGCCATATTCTAAAAAATAACTTCCAATTTGTAATCAGTGATCCCAAAAACTCTCGAACAAAAAATTTCAAGCCCATGCAGTCGATTTCCAAAAATTTGTCCGCCATTTTGGATCCGCCACTTTGAATTTTAAAAATGTAGCATCAGAGGTGCATTCAGTGACACCAAAAACTTTTGGATAAGAAATTTGAGAATAATTTAAGTTTTGCCCGGATTTTTATTGAAGAAGATATTTAAAAGATTTCGCACTTAATACCATTTATTCGCCATATTGGCATCGTTATTTGAAATTTGCGAAAAAAACGCCACTCGGCATTCAAGAGATGACGAATGTGCAAATATTTTAAGCAATAGAACACTTAAATCCATCAAAACAATTTTTGTTTAGAAGCTTGTCTTTGTTGACGTGGAACGTTCCATAATTAAACTTTATTTAAATCTTTTTAGTTCTTCTCCCCACCGTTTCGTGTTTTCGTAAACTTTTTTCGCCAGCTGAGTACGTAATGTAAAATTATAAAACCGTTTTAAATCATTTATTTGCATTTTCGGTTTACATTTTTTATGGACAGATATTTTTAAGTGAACTACCCCGAAGAAGAAACCTCATGTTTTTTACAATATTTTTTACCTATTCATGCATTGAAAATAATTTGTTTTAAATTAACTATTTTCACATTTCTTGACGTTAAATTCAATTTAGGCTCGCCGCATACAATTTTAACTGACCTCATTTAAGTTCAACCAACTCTCTAAGGACATTCAAAGGCAAAAATTTTAGTGTAAAGTGTCAGTATTCCACGGCGTTGGTAAT